TGATCCAGGTGAGTTTTTTTAATGTATTCTACCACCAATATTACCCTAACAACTTTTTGGAGATCACAAAACACTTATGTTAACATTTGGGAATTATTTTTCAACATGAAAATTAATTACATATCTTTGAACATTTCATTTCCTTTGATATGTATTTATAATTCGGGGGTCAGTGTTTTTTTTCAATATGAGAGATTAGATGAGCAATATTATAAAATATATTAATATTGAAAAGTTAAAATATGAATATCTTATGAATAGTAAAATCATATAAGTCATCTCTCAATTGACATCTGTATGTGCTGGTTTACGATAAATTTAAAAATCATGTTTGTTGTTAACTTTTGTTATTGTTAAGTCCAAAAAATTCATAGAGTCGTCCTTTTCCATCTCCATGGTGAGTGTGATAGAAGGGTGGAGAAAATTGATGAAATTCAAAAACTTAGTCTACTGTCTTTTCGTTTCTGTGAAACATACCGGGATATCATCCATGTATCTATACCATTACACGAAACTTCACGCCAGTGGACTACTGTGTATTTTCCTCCCCAAATCGTCCATGAAAATCTCTGCCAGAATGGGACTAAGTGGGTTTCCCATTATGATACCTTTGCAGGATGAGTAAAAAATTTCATTGAATTGGAACCAATTCTGTGAAAAACAAACCGTAAGCAAGTTATAGAACCTCAACCTACTTAGGCCAACCCACTACAAATATTTCAGATTTTCTGCACAACAAAGGTGTAAATATTGCTTTCAAAACCAACAACAATTTAGGCATGAACATTAAGAATAACGAAGATAAAAGTTCAATTTCAGAAAAATTCAAGCCCCTTCATTTCCAGAAGAAAGATGTGAAACTTAACCTGTTGGAAAGTATGGATATATCTTATGAACGATCAAACTGAGGACCTATCAGCTTCGGATATAAGATGTGGTGATGCAATACTCTCTCTGGCTATATTGGTAACTTTAAAATGTACCAAGGTCATAATCCTCGTCTATTTCAGAGTTATGAGAAATTATTTGAAAAATCAGCTGCTCCATTAGTATCCATTAATCTATAAAAAGTTTACTTCTATAATTTTTTACGGGATTCACATTATTAAAAGATCTTCAATGGATATCATGGCACTGGAACAATTAAGGGACAACAGACTTTCTGAGATTCGTCGTCACTTATTAAAAAAGAATGAATGAGAGAAAAGGGGGTTCCCATGGATCCATTATCAATGCAACTGATGGTATAATAGTTGTGATGGTTGTACAGTTGAATCGTTTTGGTTCATTTTTTTGTTTTGGCATAGACCATACATTGTAAGTATACTGTGGTTTTCTCGAGCTGAAAAGAGACACATTCAAATTCCAGGACCTCATTTCATCTTCTGATTTAATTATTATATAGGAATTCATGGACCAAAGTATTGCACAATATCGTGTTCACATGGATCCTAGACTTATGTGATTACAATATCTGACAGATTCATCTCAAATCAGGTGAATGATCTATAGTTAAAACTTACTGTCAAACTTATGGTGTCCATGTAGAGAAGAAAGACCTACTGTGCCACAGGTAGTGGCAGCAACGCAGGTAAAGGGAAACATCCATCCCTATAAATTGAGACACAGAGTTCGAATTAATCAGTTTGGTTGAAAAAAACCAAACATCACCAGAAGATGGCAAATGAGA